TTTGACGGTTGGATTGTTGAAATTAGTTTCGTAGAATGTGTATGCCATCAAAACAATATATTCACTAACAATTAAGAGTTTATTTATACTTTCATTAAATACAACATAAGATTTCGTGGTATCCACTAGTGTAAATATTTTAAATTGACGATTGAATTGGTTCATTGTATTCATATAGGGTCGAGGAGTGTAGCTGTAAAAAATCATCAAAATCAGAGTTGAAATAACCGTTAAATCTTGTTTTAAAAAACCGTCATCTTTACTTCACAATAGACGACCCTTTTTAAAAACAAACCATCATCTTTTTATATAATAGACGACCCTTTTTTAAAAAAACCGTCATCTTTACTTCATAATAGACGACCCTTTTTAAAAAAAAACGTCATCTTTACTTAATAATAGACGACCCTTTTTATAAAAAAAACGTCGTATTTACATATAATAGACGACCCTTTTATATAAAAACCGTCGTCTTTACATATAATAGACGACCCTTTTATATAAAAACCGTCGTCTTTACATATAATAGACGACCCTTTTATATAAAAACCGTCGTCTTTACATATAATAGACGACCCTTTTTATAAAAAAAACCGTCGTCTTTACTTCATAATAGACGACCCTTTTTATAAAAAACCCGTCGTCTTTACATATAATAGACGACCCTTTTATAAAAAAAGGGTCGTCTTTACTTCATTATAGACGACCCTTTTTATGAAAAAAACCGTCGTCTTTACATATAATAGACGACCCTTGTTATAAAAAGGGTCGTCTTTACTTCATAATAGACGACCATTTTCATATAAAAAGGGTCGTCTTTACTTAATAATAGACGACCCTTTTTATAAAAAGGGTCGTCTATTATGAAGTAAAGACGACCCTTTTTATAAAAAAAACCGTCGTCTTTACTTATAATAGACGTCAGTTCTTTCAAAACAACCATGTCTTTACCAAAAAAAGGACACTTGATTTTTAAAAGACGACGCTTGTCATACCTGCTGTCGTTGTTTTTTGGTCAGATTCTAACTCTGAAGAAAAGCCTTTTAATAAGACGACGCTTTTTTATTTGTCTGTGTCGTTATAAAAAAATTCTCAACAGTATCTCCATTTTTTGGTTGTTTAAGTCACTTATCCACGACGGTTTTTTCTTACCGTCGTCTCTTTAAAAACAACAACGGTTTTTTGCTCGACCATCGTCTTTTTCTGGTCGTCTTTTGCCCTTTTTGTAGTAGTGTATGATGTTGCCCAAGTTTTGGGCTCGATCCGAAATCAATAGGTGTGAGAAATTGGACAATTCAAGTTCAACGGCATTTCGTTCGTAATTGGAGTGATTGGTGTATTCCATACTTCTAGCGATTGGATTTCACGGCTCGATCCGAAATCAATAGGGGTAAGAAATTGGACAATTCAAGTTCAAAGGCAGTTCGTTCCAAATTGGAGTGGTTGGGGTAATTCAAAGTTCTAAAGATTGGATTTCACTCAAAACGCTCCAAATGACTCCTCCCACCATATTATGATGTTGCCCAAGTTTTGGGTTCGATCCGAAATCAATAGGTGTAATAAATTGGACAATTAAAGTTCAAAGGCAGTTCGTTCCAAATTGGAGTGGTTGGGGTAATTCATAGTTCTGGCGATTGGATTTCACTCAGAACACATCAAATGACTGCTGCCACCATATTACGATGTTGCCCAAGTTTTGGGCTTGATCCGAAATCAATAGGCATAAGAAATTGGACAATTCAAGTTCAAAGGCAGTCCGTTCCAAATTGGAGTGGTTGGGGTAATTCATAGTTCTGGCGATTGGATTTCACTCCAAACACATCAAATGACTCCTGCCACCATATTATGATGTTGCCCATGTTTTGGGCTCGATCCGAAATCAATAGGGGGAAGAAATTGGACAATTCAAGTTGAACGGCAGTTCTTTCCTAATTGGAGTGGTTGGGGTAATCCATAATTTTGGTGATTGGATTTCACTCAAAACTCACCAAATGACTCCTCCCACCATATTAAGATGTTGCCCAAGTTTTGGACTCGATTCGAAATCAATTGGAGTAAGAAATTGGACAATTCAAGTTGAACGGCAGTTCTTTCCTAATTGGAGTGGTTGGGGTAATCCATAATTTTGGTGATTGGATTTCACTCAAAACTCACCAAATGACTCCTCCCACCATATTAAGATGTTGCCCAAGTTTTGGACTCGATTCGAAATCAATTGGAGTAAGAAATTGGACAATTCAAGTTGAACGGCAGTTCTTTCCTAATTGGAGTGGTTGGTGTATTCCATACTTCTAGCGATTGGATTTCACGGCTCGATCCGAAATCAATAGGTGTGAGAAACTGGACAATTCAAGTTCAACGGTAGTTCGTTCCTAATTGGAGTGGTTGGTGTATTCCATTCTTCGAGCGATTGGATTTCACTCAAAACTCACCAAATGACTCCTCCCACCATATTAAGATGTTGCCCAAGTTTTGGACTCGATCCGAAATCAATTGGAGTAAGAAATTGGACAATTCAAGTTCAAAGGAAGTTCGTTCCAAATTCGAGTGGTTGGGGTAATTCAAAGTTCTAGCAATCGGATTTTACTCAAAACGTACCAAATGACTCGTCCTACCATATTATGATGTTGCCCATGTTTTGGGCTCGATCCGAAATCCATTGGTGTAAGAAATTGGACAATTCAAGTTCAAAGGCAGTTTGTTCCAAATTGGAGTGGTTGGGGTAATTCAAAGTTCTGGCGATTGGATTTCTTTCAAAACACATCAAATGACTCCTGCCACCATATTATGATGTTGCCCACGTTTTGGGATCGATCCGAAATCAATAGGTGTAAGAAATTGGACAATTCAAGTTCAAAGGCAGTTCGTTCAAAATTGGAGTGGTTGGGGTAATTCATAGTTCTGGCGATTGGATTTCTTTCAAAACACATCAAATGACTCCTGCCGCCATATTATGATGTTGCCCAAGTTTTAGGCTCGATCCGAACTCAATAGGTGTAAGAAATTGGACAATTCAAGTTCAAAGGCAGTTCGTTCCCAATTGGAGTGGTTGGGGTAATTCATAGTTCTGGCGATTGGATTTCACTCAAAACACATCAAATGACTCCTGCCCCCATATTATGATGTTGCCCAAGTTTTGGTCTCGATCCGAAATCAATAGGTGTAAGAAATTGGACAATTCAATTTCAAAGGCAGTTCGTTCCAAATTGGAATGGTTGTGGTAATTCATAGTTCTAGCGATTGGATTTCACTCAAAACTCACCAAATGACTCCTCCCACCATGTTATGATGTTGCCCAAGTTTTGGGCTCGATCCGAAATCAAGAGGTGTGAGAAATTGGACAATTCAAGTTCAACGGCAGTTCGTTCGTAATTGGAGTGGTTGGTGTATTAAATAGTTGTAGCGATTGGATTTCACTCAACCAAATGACTCCTCCCACCATATTATGATGTCGCCCAAGTTTTGGGCTCGATCCGAAATCAAGAGGTGTGAGAAATTGGACAATTCAAGTTCAACGGCAGTTCGTTCGTAATTGGAGTGGTTGGTGTATTAAATAGTTGTAGCGATTGGATTTCACTCAACCAAATGACTCCTCCCACCATATTATGATGTCGCCCAAGTTTTGGGCTCGATCCGAAATCAAGAGGTGTGAGAAATTGGACAATTCAAGTTCAACGGCAGTTCGTTCGTAATTGGAGTGGTTGGTGTATTAAATAGTTGTAGCGATTGGATTTCACTCAACCAAATGACTCCTCCCACCATATTATGATGTCGCCCAAGTTTTGGGCTCGATCCGAAATCAAGAGGTGTGAGAAATTGGACAATTCAAGTTCAACGGCAGTTCGTTCGTAATTGGAGTGGTTG